CTAGGATAGAGTCTACATCTTTCTTAATGGCTCTTTCCAACCAGACCTATTCTCATCCTCTTTTTCCTCAGTCTTTGATACTAATTTCAAGAGTTTTCATGTCTTTAACACATACTGCCACTACTACCAGCTCTGTATGGAGGACAGCTACGACCCCTGCATAAAAGGGGTGATGGTTGTAGATAGCCACAAATTAATGAACTAACACTTGCTTATGCATCTGAAGATAAATTTATTGCATGAAACTAACAGAAATGCAAAGAATCTAAAGATATTTTAGAAGCAATTTTAAGCATTGGCTTATATTTAACTGTGTGTAAGAGAGAGAGATAGGGAAAAAAAAAAAAAAAAAAAAAAAAAAAGGTGCTCAGTATCAGAGGGCATATGTAAAATGTAAATATGAAAACATGGCCTAGTACGAAAGACTGCCACCATGTGTTGATTTCAATGTCCACTAGTGGACATTCTCTCATACATTGAAATTTCCTTTCTCCATTGTGTGCCGATTGCTTAGGGGTAGGATCTCCGAGACTAAATCGGCAAGATTTTGATCCTGGCTTGAAGAAATCAGATGTCTAGCCACACTGATGAGCTGTGATACAGCGAAATAGGTGTGTGAGAGGGAGAGAGAGAGAATACTTGTTAATACATTAGAGTGGGAGGATTTACAAGAACTTTATTTGGTACAATTGCTTCTACAACAGTAGAAGCAAGAAATTGCTAGATTACTGAAAAGGTAAGCCTACAGGTTTATGAAATGGTGTCAAAGTTGATTAAAGGTGAATCTAATCACCAGATCTTGCCAAAATGTTTTACAAGTTGAATAAAGCGCAAAAGTTATTTTATGAATAATAGTTATTTTATTTATCTTAATGAATTATTTTAAGTTTAGAAAAGTCTTCATCTAATTTACATGAAGTTGATGAGCAGAGACTTTTCTATGGAGTAGTAGTTTTTTATTTTTTTTTTTTTTTTTTTTTAACAGTTCAAAGCAAGTATCTTCAAATCTGTTAGCATTGGGTGTGTGTGTGTGTGTGGGGGTGATCCTTTGCCAATAATATTTAGCAATTGACAACTCAAGTAGATTTCTGAATACCTCTAAGTACAGAGAATTTCTAGTTTTAGTTATTTGCATGAATTACAAGCACCCAAGTCTAAAGTAAGAACTAATAATTGTGGCAGAAACGCATATCAAGACTACAGTAACCTCATTCATGGCATCGAATGAATGAATGTGTGCATGTGAGAAAGGAAAAAAAAAAAAAAAAAAAAAGCGAAGAGAAGTGTTATAAATGGTCTTAAAAGATTGTACAAAAAATAAAATGAAAGCTATTTTAGCATGAGTTTTCCAAATTACTCAAGAATAAAAAAAAAAATAAAAATAAAATAAAAAAAATAAAAACGAATATAACTTGAACTAAATGACCTACCTATATTTTAAACGCGAGTATTTGAAGCTACCCCACCCCCGGCGCCTAGTACTAATGCTCTCACAATGCCCCAAAGTATTGAAGGAGGGTAAATAATTTAATCAAAAAGGCATTCATTCAAACATTCACAATTCTGCTACTGTTATAGCAGTCATTAAAAAAAATAAAATAAAAGCCATTTCTGAATGGGTAGAGGTATTTTTAGAATATTTTATTTGTTCTATTGAGATGAAGAAAAAAAAAAGAACCCCCCCACACACAACCTTACCCATTAAGGAATTTAAGAATAGAAGTATAAAGTGATGTACTACACCAAACAATGATTGTTGCAAAATGGAATTTGTAGGTCCCAAAAACTGCAGCAGGGAACCTCTAGATCAGTGGTTCTCAACCTTTTTTTACCCATGGACCCCTTTCCCCTTCTTTTTATCTTGGTGGACCCCTTCATAGCTATTGGACATAAGAACAATTTTCTATTCTTCACTAATATAAATTTTAAGGTTTTAATTATCAAAGAAATAGTATACAATTAAGCTTTATTTTTAAATGAAAACTAATTTAATACAAATAAAATATTCTACTATAATTATAATAATAATTATTATTACTATTTTTAATTAACACAACAATTGAGTTTTGCCTGTGGACCCCCGGAAATATTACATGGACCCCTAGGGTCCATGTAGACCCCGGTTGAGAACCACTGCTCTAGATACACAGCAATTGTTTAGCTGCTCTTTATATGTAGAGAATGGTAACCTAGATAGAAAGAGATTTCTCTCGGCCTCCTCTCCCATATCCAAATCTACCCACCCAACCCATCTAGAGCAGGTATCTGGTTTATCAATTTTAAAAAAAAAAGTCATTGGAAGAAAATCAGTTTTGAAATTCAATTTAAAAACAAGAATCTTTTTCACTCCAAGTATTTGAATGGAAGCAACTTTTTTTTTGACAGTTGGGAGGGGGGGGTAGACATCGCACAGATTTTCAATGAATAGCATGTGGGTAGGGTCTTTCCTACTGTCGAGTGAAGTTCGAATGTTTCTCAATTAAACAGCCTCCAGCACATTTGCTTCATATGCCGGCAAGTAGACTACTCCAATTAAAAGTGATGGTGGTGGTGGTTGCAGTGATAGTGTGGAATGCCTGCTGACTGTCTAGATATGAACATAAAAGGGGGATATCCCCTCAGAGGGGAAAGCGAGTAGAGAAAAGCGACCAGCGGCTGCCTGCCACGTGTATTAACAAGAAATGAACAGCAGTTGTCGTTGTGGAAGAAAGAAAGAAAGAAAGAAAGAAAAAAAAAAAAAAAAAAAAAAAAAAAAGAGAGAAAGAGAAAAATGTAGCGAGTGTGCGTAAGTTACACACCTACGATGAAGGACATGCGGACTAAGACCAGTTGTTAGAACAAAGGACTAAGTAGGGAGTTTATTATTATTATTAATGACTCAACGTATTTGTTAGAGAATTGAAGGTATTTTTAGAAACATTGTGACGTAGGATCTGACGTCATTAAAGAAATATGGAAGTCGTTAGAATTTCAAAACATGACGAAATTTTCCTTCAAAATAAATAAGAAATTTAAATGTGGTACGTGGCAAAGAGCAAATGTAACATTTACACTGTATCCTTACAAAACCTTAATTGTAATTTTTTTTTTTTTACTATAGATTTCTTAGAAGAATCTATTTCCAGTTTATTTTAAGCACTTTTTTTTTTGAATTTCTACCATTTTAAAATGACAGCAGATATACGTCATCACATTCCTCGTATGATGACTGAAAAAAAAAAAAAAAAAAAAAAAAAAAAAACCTATTAGGTTTTTTTTTTTTTAATTTTTTTAAAGACTAAATTTTGAAGAAATGACAAATGTTAAACCGTTTCATGGAAACTAGATTTCATTACGCGTTTCACCTTTCTAGGTGACAGAAAAAACAAAAACAAACACAAGTAGAATATAAATGTCACCACGTTCTTGTAGGTGACTGGTTATTTTCCACCCGACAATCCCTTTCTCACAGACGAAAGGTCGCAAGCCTCTCTCTACACTATCACTATTTCCATGGAAAGTGATCAGACGAAATACATTCCTTAGTTTCATCATCTCTAACCTTCATGGGCAAGAGCCGCCATGTCATGCACGGCGTAGCAAACCAACCTCATTCCCTTTGCATCTCATAATGACATTAATTCCATTCGAGCAGCTTCTTCCTACGAACCGCCACTTTGTGAAACAGACTCCCAAGAGGATGTTTCCCTGATCACTACATTCTTAACCTGTTAAAGTAGGGTTAACAGTTATCTTCCCATTTATATTCACATAAACTGTGCTTCTTACCCTGTAACCCTCTACCCTGAGTAGCTCCCTGGTTTTGTACAGAGTGAACATTAGCAAATGAACCAGACAAACAAAAAAAACATTCTTACAAAGCTCTTCAAGAATGACAACTATATAACTACCAAAATTGTGGCAAAGTGCAGTTTTTTTTTGTGTGTATATTTTTTGTTCAAATATATTCAATAACCACAAGAGCAGTGGGTGTGGCATAGTTCAATTCAGGTGTTATGATGTGGTAAGATTGACCTTAAATATTTTTCAGTCAGAATGCTCATGTTATATAAAAAGAGATAAAAAAAGAGAAAGAGTGTATATTAAAAGCAGCTGTAAACAACCTTAAAAAAAAAAAAAAAAATCAAAGCCATTTTCATACTTGAATAGCAAAAGAGAAAGGTTCAGCTTATTAGAAATTGCTTTAAAGAGACATTTGTCCTTTTCAGGTAAGTTATCTTGGAGTGGGTGAAGCCATCTACTGAACAGGTGAGCATATGGAGACATGTCAGAAGGTGCAGCACTTTTAAAACACGTCACCATAACAAGTAAAATATAGTAATCAGATTACATTGTAGGAGTGGGGTTTTTCAAAAAAAAAAAAAAAAAAAAAAGGACATAAGTAACAGATACAAATGATCTGGTAGACAAGGATCATGTTATAAAGTGGTTAATTTATTTATTCACACTTCATTGAAAACAACTGACAAAGCACTGCAATTAAACTTTTGTTATATTGCATTTGGACAAGTGATCTCTTTTCTGGACAGTGTGTGAATGTCCAAATGAGCTGTGGGTCAGAGCATTTTTGGCTAATCTATTGGTCATTATCAAGGATTTCTTTTTTTAAAATCTAAAATGTCCAGAAAAGAAATCACTACAAATTGAAGAAACATAATAAAAAGCTTAATTGCAATGGTTTGTCAGTCATACTTCAATGAAACCTATATAAAAGAGGGATTGCTACCCAAATACACACATTTCTGTAATACAATTATTTTTATCCAGATTCTGAAGAGTAAAATATTGTGAAACTGATGAGTATCGTGAAGTTTTATTTGAGTATACAAACACTTTTGACAATTATTTTAATTGGCTTTCTTTTATGGTAGTTAAGGGATTTAAAGCAGAGGTAAGGAGTGTTGGGTGCTTTAATTGTTCAGATAGGAAGAAAAATAAAAAATAAAAAAAATAAAATAAAAAATAAAAAAAAATAATGAAAACTTATAAAATATACTTACAAAGGAAATGCAAGCAGCTAACAACAGAATCTTGACTAACATGTCATCGAACTGCTCCAAAATGAGTTCCCACAGAGGTTTACCTAAATAGAAAGATGACAGTTAATGACATTGTTAATTGTACAAAAGGCATTAAACAAGTTTTTCAATTGTTTACATCTTTTTGGCATCAATTTAAATTCACTGTATATACTTTTGTACAAGTCAACTTCATGCACAAATGCAACCCCCTGAATTTTGTTTTGTAGGGAAAAGAAAAATTTACCTTGGTATAATGCAATTGGTTGCCAAAGATGTATGGGTGGTTTTTACCCCCCCCCCCCAAAAAAACAAATTACACTATACTTAAATTTATACAGTACATTTCTCCCACATATTTTTATCTTGGTAAAGTTTGTATTTTCTGGAGACAATATGAAAACTTAAAAATTTCCCCAATATATATTTCAGTGAAATTTTCACTTTCCAAAATTATATTTTAAATTATGTGAAAAAAGTAGATGTTATAAACATCCAACTTTTAAGTTGGTTTTCATCACAAGTGTGACTCATTTGGCTAACTGATTAAAGTAATCATACTTCAAAGTGAAATTTTCAGCTTTTTTTAAATTTTTTATTTTTATTATAAATAAGTAGAAAACTAAGTTTTATGATTCAAGTAAAAAAAAAAAAAAAAAAGACTGAAAACTGCATCTCAAGAATATGGCATCATAAGTTTGATAACCTGTCAAGTAAATTTATTTACACCATTTAAATTAGATCATCTATACCAAGAGACTCCTGAAAATGACTACTGGTAGACAATTTTCATTGTATAGTGATACAAGTATGTTCAGCCAAATTTTATATATTACATTATATTATACAAGGACTCTCCCGCCATTTTTGATGTATGAGGACCAAGCAGCTCAGTTCATTAGAACCAACAGCCAGACTACTCACACCATTTGATTATAGTGGTGAGTGAAAGCTTGTGCAAAACAAACCACACTTTTTAGAAGAGCTGAATACAGGGAACTGGTGTACAGTATGCCACATTGTCCCTAAACAGCCATTCACAAGTTCTGAATTCAGAGTTGCCCTTATCCTAGACCAGTTGCCAGCCAAGGCTAAAGAACCCAGTCTGCCCTGCTATTTATCCAGGGTGGGGGCAGAAGAGATGGGCCCATACCTTTACCAAGGGTATTTAGCACATAAGTTAATGTAATGAATTTGAACAATTCAAACTCAGCTCTCCTATTATAGTGTGTGTGTATATATATATATAAAGCTATTAAATGCTTCTCACACATTTATGCCTTTAAGCTGATATAGCAATAATTATTTACTAAAATTTGTCATTTACCAGGATTATTTTGTCAGCTCTGGACATGTTGAAATAATGCATAAAGTCTTGTCATATCTGACCTAAGACAAATACATTTTTTTTTTGCCCATCACATTTTATACATGAAAAGTTATTTGACTATTAATCTGATGACTATTTTTCCAGTCCACTTTAAGTTATTCAGTTAAGAAGAAGCCAAAAAAATTATTTGCAGATAACAGATATGCAATTTAATTTTTTTTCCCTTATTTATATTTGGCATAGATTTGTTTTAGATAAATTGAAGAAGCAAAACAAGTTTCTACAGAGATAATGTAAAATTATCATCTTACATAAACATTGGCTTTAGTTTTGTAGAACATGTGTGGCCTGTACTTAACATTTTCAAAATCAGTTACACTAGGTTATCATTAGGTTCTGCATTTTCTTTTAATTTACTCTTAACCATTTATCATTATATTTAATAAAATACACAAATACTCAATGGATTTATTCATCAACTCCAGGGTTTCATGTAAGATGAAAGAGCCATTTAAAAAAAAAAAAAAAAAAAAAAAAAAAAAAAAAGACTACTATTGAATTATTACCAGATATCTTTATGTGCCACCAACCCTGATAAGCATTACTATTACACTAAACTGAGGAAAGTCCTTTGAACATTGTCACTAAGCAATGATTCTGCTGACTTTAAAAAATATGCTAATTCTATTTATTTTTTATTTTTTTTTTTAAATGTATTTTGATAGGTGTCCAAGGAAATAAATAGGATTAGTGTTCAAGCTATATATCTCCAAGTATATGATTGGTGTATACAGATTAAATTCCAATAACCAACAATTACCATTCTTAAAAGAGTGCTCAATACAGAGTAGAGCAGATATAATTATTTAAAAATAATATAATATTTATGTTATAATTTTTAAATAAATTATATATATATATATATATATATATATATATATATATATATATATATATATATTATTTAAGTAAACAAGTCTTTTTTCAAAGTTGATGGGGGGGAAAAAAAAAAAATCACAATGGTCCTCACCACCAAAGAAAACTGAACAAAATTAAAGGCAGAATATGGCAAGATTGCAATACCCCACCTCCAAACAATGTAGATACATACAAATCTTAATTTTTCTATTTCAAGCAAAATTATGAGTTCCTAAAAGTGAAGGAATTTCTTTTGAAATCCATACAGTTTCAAAGTATGTAGACAATAACTTTCCCCAGTTTCTCATTCTTTAATCTGAATTGCCATGACTTCTTGGCAAAGTCAGTGGAGTGGCTTCCCTTGCCACTTCACACTTGTTTTGCCCCCTATCAAGGCTATGGAGCTGTCCACCTTACTATTTTATTATTATTTTTTATCTCCACCTTGGAGGTGGAATACATTCCTTTCCAAAGGTCATCAAGTCAAAATTTACTTTTACTTTTCACACAGATAACCAGTCATAGCACCTATACATTTTGTACTCAAGGCAACACAACACACAAGTTAAAATATCATAGAATTATGCATAATGTTATTTATTTCAAAGTTTCTGACCAAGATTAGACAGTGCAGCATCATGTGTTGAAGTCACATATATATCTTTTTTCATTCTAGTATTCCAAGATTAAAACTGATAGTAAACAAGATTGTTCTTTTGTCAGGTGATTGTGTAATCCTAAGAAAATAAATTTTATTGGAGGAAAAAAAAAATGCCCTAGTTATCATTTGCAGGTGTCTAAATTTCCTAAGCATCATGAAGTAAAAGATTTAAAATAAAATAAACATTGACCACCATCCAATTCATATTTATTAGAGGGTAGGCAGCAGTAAAACAATCATCAACATCAATAAATCGATTGCCATTTTTCTTGAGAATGAAAGATGTACATGGCAATCCCAATTAGACAACATTATAGTCTTAAAAGTGACACATTGTATACATACATATTATATTACCATTATGTAATGTCATCGATTTAAGAAAGAAAAAAAATCTTTGTAATAGTCAGTAAGGGGAAGAACAATGTTTTAAGGAATTTACAAATACTGGGTTATTTTTGTTTGATGATCGAATAATAGAGATCAGTAAATTTATTTTAGTGATCTCGGAGGAAGGGGGGGAGGTTGCGGAATTACTTGAAGGTTACGAAACCGAGCACATGCCTTTGTTGATTATGTGTACAAATCGTAAAGAATTACGTCATCAGAATGATTGCAATTAAAAAAGATTTTCCATTCTTTCCAATTTATCTGGAACATAAAATTAACAAAAAAAAAAAAGAAAAAGAAAAAAGAAAAAAAAGGTATAAAATGTTAATAAATAATGCAAAAAAAAAAAAAAAATCTTTAGTTTAAAGAGTCATTTTTTTTTTTTATCCTTCATCTTGCACAACACAAAAATGTCAAGTGACAAGAAGACTGATCGTGCCAAGCCCCAATGCAGGGCCTAAATGCCTGCTTAGAATCATGTTTAAAATAAATTGGGAGGAAGGTGGTTTTCTTGATCATACGAGGTATGCCACTCACTATTTTTTTAATCATGGAAGGATTGCGTCGAAACACAGGGAAAGTACGTTTTAGAGACAGACTGGTGAATTATAATCATAACGAGCTTTATGTATGCTGCCTTTTGCCAGACAGGTCTCAGCTGATTTTTAATCGTCTTTACAAAGGCAAGCCACGACCCACTTGAGCACCATATTGAAATCGCACTTTGAGGGAACTTCTTACACTAGGTTTGCAGGAAATTAAAAAAGAAAGAAACGAAAGGAGGTGATAGGTTCAAACCATATCTGTATTTAATAAAAATGCTAGACAATGCATTAGAAGACTTAGAGGAAGACTATTGAAATGGATAGATAATTTTAAAAGAAATCTTAGGCGAGGGTCTTAAAGCGAGTCTTTTAGGAGGAAAGCGTGGATGCCGCCATATTGTCTTCAGCTTTACGCATTTTTATTCATTGAGAAAGTAAAAATATGAACTTACCCTCCTCAGCAGGCATCTCTGTAAAGAGAAGAAAAAGAAAACAGTTATAGTTTAAAAAGAAAGAATTACAATAATAAATGATTGTTGGTAAGTTGTTTTATAAACGATATGAATTAGACAAAAAAATAAATAAATAAAAGCTTTATTTTCAAACAATTTACAATTGTTGTTATTTTGCATGTCAAGGAATTCTCATAAGATTCAAAAATCAAAAGAATTCAACCAAATGTTAGTTCCGGAAAGGGACTGATCAATTTTAAATTAAATGCTAGGGTCTAAAAATTAATGATAATTGGGAATTAAACTATTTATTTCAACCTTTTTCTAGTCACTTTTTACTTTATTTTTATTTTTTACTACACACAAGTTACTTATGATAAGTATAACCAGGGCTGGGTTATTTGTTTTTTTAATTTATTTACAAAGTGCTGATGAATGAAAACTAGACTGTCAAAGTCCCAATTATGCAATTATAGTTTTGTAATGCTAATAAAAAAGATTGTTAGTTGAACAGTTTCCGAAAGAAAGATTAATAGTAACACTAATAATCCCCTAGACTTCAAATTTTTACAAGAATTTATTTAAGTTTCCTTTTCCTTTAGTTTATTTTCACGAAACTTGATAAAATTAGTATGCATCGAAAAAGATAGAAAATACAATTAATTGCATACAAATATTTACTACATGTTCGTAAATTTATATAAAATTTGGACATAATTCTAAAGTTTCAGCACCATGGGAAACTCTTTAAAAATTTGTAAGACCCTTTGTGAAGAGATGTGGGGTGAGAAAGCAAACATTTTGTTTATAATCAAAGTTGGAGATGCTAATTATTTTTCCTTGTAGATTTTAAATTATTAAAGTTTAATTAGTGAATTTACTAAGATGAATTTTTTTTTGCTATTTTGGAGACGTTTCTCTATAATGTTAAAAATTACATTTTAAAATGTAATTTGCAACTGTAGGAAGAGAAAAAAAAAAAAAAAAAGCTTGAATGAATTTAAATATAGAATTATTAGAAGAAAAAAAAAAAGTTTCTACAAAAGTTATTTCTTTCAAAGTTTTTAACACCTGGAATATGGCATTGATATTATTAACACAGGTATATACACTATTTTAAATAAATCGGGTAAAGAAAAAAAATAAAAATAAATAAAAAAATAACTAAAAGTAAAACTAAATAAAAATAACTGCAACAGTCTGGGGAAAAGGTGTGTGTATGTGGGGGGGGGTCGCTAAGATGAGAGGGACATTGAAGGTGGGGGATATTAATAGAATGTGCCAGGTAAGTAGAGAGGGTGGGTGGTAGATGTCTTTATGATATATACATTACAAACTGATCCCCCACTTACCGGCCATTAACTATTTATATATGTGATCCTTATAAGGGAACAACTGCATGGTGCTGCAGTTACTTACTATCTAGATAGATAAATATAAACTAGGACCCAATTAGATACACACACGAAGCAATTAGGTACGTAACTGGTTTTAACCAGGTGAAGTATACATATCATCTTTCCACAGGTGTCACATTTATTTAAAAACAAAGATATTGCTTTTAGTTTTTATTGATAAAAAAATCTTTAAACCTTGCAACATAAAATTATCAATTTATGTACTAATAAATATTTTTAAATTTGATTAATTTTGGTACTTTTTGTTTACTTTCAGTTACAACCCCCACACACATTTTAAAAGTCGTGTGATACTGAATCTAATATCGAGATTATTTATAGTCTGGAAAATCTTTGATTTCTCTGATTGAATATCAGAAACTGAAACTTTATTAACATTTCAGAGAAATTCAAGATTTGTTTTTTCTTCAAATAAAAATTACTAAAAAGATTTCTCACTTAAATATGAAATGTATAGACAGATTTGTTTGAGTCTTGACTTTTTAATTTTTTTTTTTTTTTTTTTAAATAAATACTTTGCAAAAATTAAGCCCAATGTAATGAATTGTTAGAATTCGGTTTTACTTTTAGTTTTATAGTGACAAACTTAAAGTTATTTTATAAAGCAAGGAAGGTTTTGAAAGCTTTCTTTTCAAATAGAGTATTTTTTTTTCTTTCAGGAGAAAAATATTTTTCTTGGCAATAAAAATGCATAAAGCAATAATACAGTTCCCGATTTATTACATTTTTTTTCGTTTTACAGAATAAACTAGTTATAAAGTAGTTTTTGATAAGTTAGTGAACAATAGTGTTAAAATTTATATAATTATTATATAATTGTAAAATATTCATGTGTAAAATGGAGCACATAAAATTGTTTCCTAACTTTTGATAAGGATCACTTTTTTTTTTTAATCTATGTCATTTAAAGAAAAAAAAGTTTAGTTTTTCTTGAAGAAACAAAATCATTTTTTAGATTGTTATTTTTGGAGGGGGGTATATAGATATGTACAGATGAATAAAAACTGCTTTTTCATTATTTTTTATTTTATTTAATTTAAAAAGAAAACGTTGACAAAGATCTGAGGAAAGGTTCAGTTTTTTTTTTTTTCAAGAACTTTATGCACGAATAATAAAATAGTAATTAATAGATTAAAATCATAACAGTAATCATTATTTTCTATAAATATATTTTAAAATAATAAAAGTTATAAACACTAAAAGATAAACATTGTTCATACAATGTAAAAAGAAGAGGAGAATATGGAAGACATTATATAGCTTGATTGAAAGTAGCCTCTAAAACTAAAGATTATTTTCGTATAAATAAATAATTTTAAATTTAAAAAATACTTCTAGCAATGGACAAATTAAATTCTATACACATTTATATAATCGTTTTTTAAGGGGATAACAACAAAAACGTAGACATCTCTTTTAAAATACCTTGCTTTCTTTTTCGTTAGAGAAGCGGCCATAAACTGGGGGTCTTGTTTTTAATAGTAAAGATATTGTAAACTAATCCCCCCTTCAAAACACATCATGTGACTAAGTAGATGTTAGTACTGAAGTTTATTGAAAGGCAAATTTAAACAGCAACAATTCACCTTAATGATAATCTTGAGATTTACGAACTGGTTATCATTGAAATAATTACTGTTTAGTAGACATTTAAAAAAAGATGCATGTTTTTTTTTTATATAGTCAGTTCAATGGAGGTAACATGCTTTTTTTATTGCATTTAGGATTTTAATACCTTTTTTTAGTATCTGTTGCAGTTGCTGTATATATTTTAATTAAAAGGATTATCATTAATTTTTTTAGCTTAATCATCGTGTTAAAAAGCGTGTTTGGGCATGTGATTATCTTTGAATTAATTTAAAAGATTAAACTTTTTTAAAAAAAAAAAAAAAAAAAGATATGATCGTCTTTTTTAAAGACGAAAGCTTTTAAAAGTCAAAGTTGTTCTTTTCACAAACATCTTGGAGTGTAGATATAAATTTTGAGTTATTTGCAATAGTCATGGTAAAAATTTAATACTTTTTTTTTTCTTCTTAAAGATGTATGTATGTATATATATATATATATATATATATATTTTTTTAACTTACCATTCGGCCCATATTTTTCCAAGTTTTTCTTAATTTGATCATCAGTAAGCCCGACATTTGCATCAACTCCGAAGAAGGCACAGCTCTCGTCGGCTGTTTTCGTGTGTGCAAGATCCATCTTTCAGAAAAAATCCGTTTGAAATAATTTCCGAATAAATATAATAAAAATATTTTAAAAAACAACAACAAAAAAAAACAAACAGATAAGATCACTTGTAGCTGTTGGTTGCTTTTTTTTTTTTTTCTTCCTTCTCTTCGATTTTCCCCTATTAGTCACTCAGAGCTGGTAAACCCCGAGTTTTAGTGAAAAATGGTAAACCAAACCCCCTCAAAGTTTAAAAAAAAATCTTGCTGCTTGCTTGTCCGTCCGGCCTTCCTTCAGAAAGGCGGAAAAGACAGAATGGTTGGTTGGTTGGTTTGGTACGAGGAGAACAGGCTTCCAGCAAGAAGATTACCGAAATGTATCAAGCTAGAAACACACAAACTCCTCGGTGAACTCTCTCTCCCCTCAGTACTGCCGGACCTGATCTAATACCGCGAGGAACAAGGAAAGTATAAGCCAATCTGGGTTACACCAATTCTTACTCAAAGGGGTGACAGCCCTTAAAAGTAACTTCCTGAACCCATCGTAAAAACAATTTTACGTTAAAATTTAACTGAATAAATTCTTAGAAATAATTATTCGATCCACTCTCCAATATAGAAACTGAAATCAAATTTTTAGAAATTTAAAAATCATTTTTTAAATACCGTCACACCCCTGGACGTATACGTACAGTAATTGAAATAGACAGGTCTTTCTTTCAAATCCCAAAATGGATGCACCCAAGTAATACTAAATTGTAGGGGTGGGCAGGCTAGTTCGCTAATATAATATCGCTTGACTGCGGACGCTAAATAGTGAAGATAACTTGCTATTTCTTACCTCACATTTCATAACCAACAAAACAAAACGCACAAATAATTTACTGTTTATTTTAGTATATGTGTACTTTAATAAATTCACATTTTTTTGTCAGCATCTATTTCGAGATGTCGATTACCTGTCACCCCTCAAACAATCCAACTGTTGAAGATGGACATACTCATCTCTCCCGGTCACCCTCTTTTTCTCTGCGTTTTTAATTTTACTTTTCTTTATTCTTCTCCTCAGCATCATCATCTTCTTATCTAGTTCTCTTTTCTTTTCTTGCCATCTGTAGATCTTATTTCCAGCTAATTCCTTTCCCTCTCTAATAGCCTTTTCGATCTTCCTTCCCTTCCGACCTCCTCTCTTCTTATTTCTCTACCTATCGTTTTTACCTTCTTCCTCATACCTCACTCCTCTCACATACTTCACCCTCTCTCCTACCGACGACTAAAGCCAAATGTGGTGCGATCCGATTGGCTGGTTCCGGTTCACATGACACGCAAGCCTGTGACGTCATTGGCACGCCGCATGTAACTATTTCTGGAGTAGACTACGGATCTCTTTCTTTTTTTTTCTGTCTTTATGCAAAGACCGCTAGTAAAAAATATTCCTCTAACTTCTTAAATGTAATACCCCGGTCACTTGCTAAGTATGTGTAAACGTTTATATATAGATACCAACAAAAAGCACATATATACACCTGGCTGTTTTTCATAAGTGCGGGTGTGCGCACGCACCGGTATCCAGTAGCTCTTTTTTTTTTTCTGCACTCACACTGCATCGTATGATTTTCTTTTATTTTTTTTCCGCTTTTACTAAATACACGCACACAAATCTAGTGTTTGTTTTGGGCGAACGAATAACTATGAACAAGTTATTTGGAACACGTGGCTAATAATTTCTGGTTGTATGGCAATGGGATACTTTTTTTTTTTTTTTATTCCCCACCCCCCAAACTCCTCACCAAGCAGGTAACTAGAGCAAATGGTTTGTATTTTTTTTTTTTAATACGTTACAAACAAGTACATGGCACACATTTTCAATTTTAAACTGATGCTAAATTTTGGCTAAAAATCTTACCACTCACCAACATTTATTTTTGCAAAACTTTTTCTCCAGAGAAAAAGTTCACATACTTTTGTAGACGAGGCACAATTTTCCCATCAGTTGGAAAATTCTTACTTTTTCCAATGACGCAAGTTTTATTGAACAATCGCAATTTAGTAAGCGTAGCTTACATGTGGCATACGACCGAGAATGGATAGTAC